GTTAAATATAAAATTTTACAAAATAAAGGATATAAATAAAAATGAAAATGTAAGTTGAAGGGTAAAAATTGTAAATTTACAAAATCAGATTTTTTTAAATGAGTGGGTCCCACACAAACTAACCTATTTCTACCAATAAAACTAAAACTAACCTATTTCTACAAACCTTTTTCAAAACCAACCCATTTTTGCAAAAAACTCTAGAGAATTAACATATTCAAGGTTAGAAGATATTTTAATGTACCAAAGTATCAACTCGACCAACCCGTACGGTTTTGGTTGGGATGGGTTGCACTTTCGTTTGGTTTGGGTTAAGATTTTTCAAACCGCAAGTATTGGATTGAATTGTTCAAATGTCTTCAACCCGATCAAACCTGATCTACGATGACCCCTTCTTAATATGGTTATTAATTGACTAAATGGGAACAGATTTAATGCTTGTGACGGTGATTTTGAGTATTACGTTTGCATGAGTTCGTTTCCATGTTTTTTGTCAATGAATTAAATTTGTTCCCATTTGGAGGCGTGCATGCATGAAATTGTAGGCTAAACGTGAGTTATGCAAATGCAGACTTTTATACAAACTGGACTTTTAATACAAACTTCCCATAAAACTTCCTATATAACGAGTAGCGTTACAGTTTCAGATTCCATATCCTTCTTACTTCTTTTAAATAATTACACTTAGAAACCACACATTTGTCTTCAAAATGGCATCTTCTTTGGCTTCAATCGAAGCTTTAGTTGTCAAGTTGAAGGAGGAGATGTTTTCGGACCATCTTCACTACTCGTTTGTTTCACGTTCTGCTTACGACACAGCGTGGTTAGCCATGATTCCTCACCCACTGGAACCTACAACTCCATTGTTCAAGAGTTGTCTTGAATGGTTACTTATTAACCAAAATAGACAAGGGTACTGGGGAGAATCAGTGAATGGTGATCTTCCTACCATTGATGCTCTTCCTGCTACTCTTGTTTGCATGGTTGTGCTCCAAAAATGGGGATTGGGTGTAAAAAACATAGAAAAAGGTAAGTAGTGCATCAACAAAGAGAGAGTTTGTGTATTAGTTATTGATAGTCCATCTATGCATTTTGATAAGAATTTGTGTAGTTTCTTGGTACAGTATCTTGAGGATCAGAGAATGAATTCTTAAACCCATTATGTTTGTTTTGCATATTTTCGTGTAGATCACACAGGTTTGCAAGTTATGTTGGATTTATTGATAGATAGCATGACTGAAAATGGTGGTATTTTGTAGGTTTGGAATTTATGCATGTGAATATGGAGGAGATGCTTCATCATGATCGTCATTTCCCTCTTCCTCGATGGTTCTTGATTGTTTTCTCGGCAACCATTGAACTTGCAGAATCTTCAGGCCTAGAGCTTAAATTCTCTGATCACATGAAATCAGTCATTTCTCAGATTTGTGCCAAAAAGCAACAAATTCTTGGCATGTAAGCATACGATCACTGTTTTTGTGGGGTTTTCTTTCGGAACTATCAACTCTCCTCGATAATGATATGTACATATATCGACATCTCATGGACTAAAGATGAATAAAATTTCTTGTAGGGAAGAGCTTGTCGATAAATGCCATCACCCACCGTTAATTGCTTACTTAGAGACCTTTTCGCCGACCGACTACAAGGTTGATCAAGAAACCATAACAAAGCATTTGAGTGAAGATGGCTCACTTTTTCAATCGCCCTCAGCTACTGCACAGGCATACATTTCTACTGGAAACCAAAAGTGCCTTAATTATCTGATACAACTTGTTCAAAAGTGTCCCAACGGAGGTATAATATTCAAAAGTGCCTGAAATAATCTTGATATTAATTCATGTATATTACTCCATTGAGAAGTGCATAAATTAGCAACGATCTTTACTGCAGTTCCACAAACGTATCCAATGGATGAAGAACTAGTTGAACTCAGTATGGTTGATCAAGTGGAGAGGCTAGGTTTGTCTGAGTATTTCACTGAGGAGATTGACTGCATACTGAAAAAAGTGTACAGGTGATATATATATCATTCATTTGGGTATAATTATATACTTTAAAGTTAGATCTTTCCTTAAGAGAACATAATCATCCAGGAGTTACAAGGGCCAAGAATCAATGCATGAAAACATGAACTTTATACCAGCGAAATTATACAAGGACTCCCTTGCATTTCGACTTTTTCGACTGCACTGCTATAGCATTTCTCCAAGTAAGTATCTGTTTGTGCTTTCTGTTTGTTTTACTTACTCTCTTCACAAGGCAGAAGTCATCTATTTCACAATTGAATGCTCCATCCCTTATTGTTAATCAACATTAATGGAGTTTAGTGGTTGTACCTAATTTGTATCTTAATTTGTTTTAGGGACCTTCTGTTGGTTTTTATATGATGAAGAAATATTGGATCATTTAGAAAAAAACTGTGGACAGTTCACAAGCTTAATGTACAGTGTTTATAGAGCCACAGATCTTATGTTCATCGGAGAAAATGAGGCAGACCAGGCCAGATCGTTTTCGAAGAAAATGCTTCAGAAAATCTCAACCATAAAGAAAACAGTCGATGATAATGTTGTCATACGTCCGAATTTATCCAAAGTGGTAAGCATAGTCTTTCTGTTACCATCTTCATGCCCATCGCGCTCTTTGCGTAATCATTTAAGGTTTAACTCGTACTTGGTAGATTGAGGAAGAGCTAAGCGTACCGTGGATTGCAAGACTTGATCATCTTGATCATAGGATGTGGATTGAACAAAACAAAGAAGAACCAATGTGGATTGGCAAAGCTTCCTTTTATAGATTGTCATGTGTTCATAGTATGGGGCTAATGGAAGTAGCTGTCCAGAACTTTGCATTCCGGCAATTGATTTACCAAAATGAACTAAAGGAACTAAAAAGGTAATTAATTGCTACTAAATGTGAAGACACCATCATAACTTTATCTGGATGACATACAAGTAATTGAAGTTGTTAATTGGTTTCTATGCATGTGTAAATGTTATGCATACGTGTGTATCGGAAAAATTGCTTACAAATTATTTATATGCACATCCGGATGAACGGTTACCAGGTGTTCCTCAATTTTTGATAATTTTTGTAGTTTTCCTATGAACCTGATTATATATATTAGAATGGTACTCGCACAATGCAGCGCGATACATCTTGATTTTATTGTTTAATTTTATTTTTTTTGTCGCAAATCGATGTTATAATACGATTTTATATGAATTTGAGAAAGTGATAATGTTTTTATTTTTGAACAAAATATAAATATGAATATATTATAAAATATTTAAAAAAGTAGCAAACTAACTATTTTTATTTTTTTTGTTTTGTTTTTGTATTTCTGTAATGCATTTTTTTTGGTTTAATAATATAATTTTYTTATAAAGATAATAATTAATTATTTTGTTAGAACTCAATAATTACCTTAATTATATTTTAGATTTTTTATATTTTAAAATAAAATGTTTTCCTCTATTTGATTATGTTTATTCGCAATTAATTATACGAATTCAAACATCGAGCTTTAATAAGTTGTACTTATGCATAATTTACTTGTAATCTTGAATTTTAACTAATATGCATTAATACACAGTACTTCATGCATAATAAATGGTTTTTAAAACCACAAGGGTGGTGCCTGATTGGTTTGAGCTTGACTCCAAAGGTCAAAAGTACCGGTAGGTCCCACGTTCAAATCCAAGAAAGAATAAAAATCGCGCCACGGAGGTTCAAATACGGTGACTCCGGGCTATTTGCAAAGCAGGTGGTCGCCCTGGGATTAGTCGCTCGCATAGCGGGTTGGATATCCAGGTTAATAAAAAAAATGGTTTTTAAGAGCTTTTGTAAATGCTTTATAGCATATACGGATTTTTAGACTCATACACCCCTCAATCATTTACTTATTCGTGGATGAAGTTGCATCAGTAAACAACATTTGGTGATTCGTTATGATACTTGCGATCTTCAAAACTTCTTCTATGTTTTGTTCATGGTAGTTCAATTATTGTGTAGGTGGTCCAAGATGTGGGGACTTGCAGAATTGGGATTTGGTCGTGAGAAAACGACATATTGCTACTTTGTGGTTGCGGCCAGCACTTGTTTGCCCCATGATTCCATTATACGAATGCTAGTCGCAAAAAGCGCGATACTGATTACTGTTGCAGATGATTTTTTCGATATGAAAGGCTCTCTTGAGGAGTTGCAAATGTTGATTGAAGCTATTCACAGGTACCTTTTTTCTTGTATTCTATCTTTTCTAATTACTGTGCTTCAACTTGAAACTCCTCGTTATGCAAATTATAGTTCTGTTAACATTCAGCCAGATCTTCACTGTTTCTACTTAATTTCATGTTGAAACATAGATGGGATGGTAAGGGCTTAAGTGGACCAAGCAAGGTTATTTTCAATGTGCTGGATGATCTTGTAAGAGATGCTTCCAAGATATTGTTCCTTCAAGAACAGATTGATGTAACAGAAGACTTTCGAGATCTTGTAAGTGTATTATTTCATGATGTTCATATATAAGCTAACAAGTCCTAAAGATTATTACGCTTTTCCGAAAGTTGTAATATTAGATTTTTCTGTATACATTTGAAGTGGAGAGAGACCTTTGACTCGTGGTTAACTGAAACGACATGGGGAAAGAGTCGTTACGTGCCTTCAAAGGATGAATACATGGAAATCGGCATGATCTCCATTGCTACACATCTCTTGGTTCTCACTTCTTCGTGTTTCCTGAATCCAAGCTTACCGAAGAACAAAATCAAGCCCCAAAAATACGACAACATCACACGATCGCTTATGGCATCTGCTCGATTGGTCAATGACATGCAAAGCTACCAGGTCATATCCATTTAGAACCTTATATAGTAGATGAAACAAGTTAATTACTTTCTTCACCATGCTTATTGATCTTTAAGAGTAAATTATTTTAACAGAAGGAACAAGTAGAAGGAAAAATGAACCTGGTGTTGCTTCATTTCAAAGAAAACCCAGATGCAAGCATGGATGATTCAATTGATCAAGTGAAAAGTTTGCTTGATATGAAAAGGAAAGAACTGCTCAAACATGTTTTTATGGATGATAACAGTGATTTCCCTAAACAATGGAAATACCTTCATCTATCATGCTTCAAGGTGTTTCAAATGCTATACAACTCCACCAACCTATTTGATAAAGACACAGAACTTCAAGTAGATATAGAGAGAGCAATTTACATTACTCCTGAAAATGGATTTTCTAAACAACTGAAGTCGGGAACAACATGTTATCCATCGCGAGAAAAGAAAAACTTGACGATCAACGATGGGTATGAGAGAACTCCTCTACAGCGTTATGGTGAAGGTCGGATGAACATTCGGTGTCAACGGGTTCTCAAGCATACGATGAGAAATTTCAGCTTGAAAGTGTTTAAGCCACCGGTCTTTAATTTATGCTTCACTTAAAGTGGTAAAATCATATCATTTATTTTGGACAAGATAGAAAATAGTCGTTGATCATTTCAACTTCTTGAAGTTCGTAGGAGCAAAGTGTGCCTATTTTGTACGTGTGAATCTGTCTTGAGATTTAAATGCTTGTTTTAGTGTAATAGCATATGAATGTTTGTAATTTACTAAAAGTTAATTTTGTTGCAAAAACAAGATATTACAGGATCTAGACAATGATTATATGTTCAAAAGAAAGGATTATCTCAAGAATAGTCATTTGTTCCATAAAGTTTCATTGAGAGTACAAGGTAGGCTCTAAATAAGGTGTGGCGTACTAGCGATATCAAGCTTCAAGACTTACGAGTTACGGTGAGGTCATGACGTTTTCCAAGGCATGACACATGCCTTAAGACAACATTATATATATATATATATATATATATATATATATATATATATTCGTGAGATCCGTAAGACCAATTTATGTTCATTGATCAAATTTATGAATTAATGATCTAATGGTTGCAAAGTTGCAAGGTGGCAATTTCGTAATTAGTGAGAAGTCTCGTGGCGTTTATAAATGTTCAGATTTGACGATTGTAAATCTAATCCAAGGGTTGAGAATTGGTCTTACGGGTCTCACGAAAAATCATTGGTCTCACATGATCCCAAGTCTATATATATATAGGGTTGGGTTCACGTGAGACCAAGGGTTTTTCGTGAGACCCGTAAGACCAATTTATGTTCATTGATCAACTTTATAAGCTAATGCTCTAATAGTCTAAGGTTGCACGGTGACAATTTTGTGATTATTGAGAAATCTCGTGACAATTTTATAATTATGAATGTTCAGATTGTAGATCTAATCCAAGGGCTGAGAATTGGTCTTACGGGTCTCACGAAAAACCCTTGGTCTCACATGATCCCAAGTATATATATATATATATATATACACACACACACTCCTCTAACAAAGAGCAGTTTTTCGTTTATCTTGAAAAAACTAAGAGGTACATATATTAAAGCTTAATGCACAAGTTATAAAGTGCATTTACACTTCCCGTCCAACTACCCCTCCACCTTCCTCCAAAACCGCCCTAATTTCTCTCTCCACTCCCCGACTTCATCTTGCACATAACTCACTAAAACATGTGTGTCGTTTCAATTAATCCATGAATTTTCAATGCTGATATTCAAACGCCCTTAAATGTATTTTCCGACGATTTCTAATATTGTTTTGTTAAACTACTTACTCAAAGAGCAGAATTTCATGAGCAGAATTCTAACTTTTCTACATAAATTCACTCTGAAAACAAAAAATGAGATGCATTTTCCTGACCAAACAAGACTTTCTCCAGCCTATTGTGGACACTCCTCAAACAGAGAGAAAAGTAGCAACATTTTTCAGGTTTGAAGGCGTTTTAGGAGTAATTATGGGTCATAGATAAGTTTACCATGTTTATTTACGTATGCAAACTTGACGGTTTATGCATCCAAAATATTTTGTGATTTTTGTTAGAGTTTGTTGTTATTTTCTGTTTGATAGTTATCATAGTTAGCATAATTAGTTAGGCTATTTTGTCTTAGCTGTGTATATATAGCCCTTTTCTCTATATCCTTCTTCTATCTCTCTCTATTTCTTTCTCTCTCATTATATCATGGTATCAGAGAAAGTCAATCCAATCTGATTTTTTTCTCTCGTTTTCCTTCATGATTCAATTTTCAATTTCAGTTTCCTCTATTCCAGATCTATTCTCGTTTCCTTCTTCGTCAATTTCAATATGACTAATAAACAGGCAGATAATGCGAATAAGGGCATGAATGCCTATGCATATTCAAATCCTTTGTATTTGAGTCAAAATGGTAATCCTGGAATAGTGTTAGTTACGAAGATTTTTTATGGCAAGAGTTTTGGAGCTTGGAATCGTGCGATGTATCTAGCGTTTTCTATCAAGAACAAATTAGGTTTTGTGACTGGCAGAACGAAGAAACCCGCAAAGACGATCCTACTTATAATGATTGGGAGATATGCAATTCCATCATTATTACATGGATTCTCAATGTGATGACTAGAGAAATCTCTGAAGGATTGATCTATCACAGGACTGCAAATGCAATTTGGAAACAATTGCATCATATGTTTGAGTAGTCAAATCTGGTTATATTTTTTCAATTACAGAAGGAATTGAATCAAATAGCTCAAGGAACTGATTCAATTACCACATATTATTCCTGATTGCACATGTACTGCAGGAAATGCTTGGATAAAGCGCATGGAAAGGCAACAGGTAGTGCAATTTCTTTTTGGATTGAATGATAGTTACATACAAGTAAGAGGTAATATTCTCCATGAAAAACCTTCTCCTACTATTGTTGATGCTTATGCTGCGTTGATTCAAGAGGAACAACAGAGAGAAGTCATTGCTCCTGTGAAAATGAATATTGAAGGAATGGCAATACTAGCAAATAAAAATAATTTTACAGGAGCAAAGTTGTTCATGAATGCTGAAACAAAAAGAAATATTGTTTGTAACTATTGTAAGAAGAGAGGACATGTTAAAGCAGAATGTTAAAAACTAATCCGTTTTCCAGAGAATTTCAAGTTCAATAATCCAAGAAGATCTTCTTCTTCTGTTAATGTTGTTGAAGGAAATGCTGGAATTACTAATCAAGATTATCAGCAGATCATGAATTTTATCAACAACTGCAAAATTAAAGAATCTGCCTTGTCAAATTCTGGATAAAATTTTTCAAGCAGTTCATGTGGTTCTGTTATAGAGAAAGAAGGAAGTGGTTTTACTGCATGTGCACGTAAAATTTTGAGTACTCCTATTTCTAGTTTATGGATTATTGATTCTGGTGCCTCTGCTCATATGTGTAGTCATAAGTATGTGTTTTCCACTCTAAGAAAACTTCCTAAATCTCACAAAATTTCCTTACCTAATGGGAACACATTGTTTGTTGAGTCAATTGGAAACATTACTTTATCCAATTCATTAACTCTGAGTAATGTGTTATACGCTCCTTCATTTCATTATAGTATTCTCTTTGTAGTCAAGTTATGTTCTACATATAAATCTCCTATTTATTTTTCTAATACACATTGTTATATGCAGGACCCTCTCACCAAGAAGCCCTTGGTACTTGGTAAAAAGGTTGGAAATCTCTACTTGTTGAACTCCAATCAAGTCAAGATTTGTGATTCTGATAGTTTTTCTGTATCTAGTACTGTTATGCTAGATAAATGTAACAAGATTGTTTCCTTGTTGCATTTACGTTTTGGTCATCTTCCTTTGTACAAGCTAAGACAAATAAATCTTTCTCCAAATGCTTGTAATAAAGATTTATTTCATTCATGTGTTGTATATCACAAAACTTGACAACACAAGTTACCTTTTCCTATTAGTCAATCCAAATCTGATTCTACATTTGATTTCCTTCATGTTGATATTTGGGGTCCATTTTATACTCCTACATACGATGGACACAAAATGCAGCCTTTCATATCAAAAAGTCATTCTTTCAGTTTCATAAAACAACTAAAGTGATTCGGACTGATAATGCCAAAGAGTTAGGTAATAACATTGAAGGAAAAACTTTCTTCTCTTCCAAAGGTATCATTCATCGGTTAGCTTCCCCATACACACCTCAGTAAAATGGAAGAGTTAAAAGAAAATACAAACATCTTCTTGAAATAGTTAAAGCCTTGATGATATAATCTGGACTACCCCTAAATTTTTGGGAGGATAGTATTTTGACTACAACCTATCTTATAAACAAAATTCCTTCAAAATGTTAAATCATCTTACTCCTTTTGAACTCTTATTCAAAACCAAGCCACAATATGATCATTTACGATCTTTTGGATGTTGTGTTTCGTTTCCACAAATCATGTAGACAGACGTAAATTGCAGTCCAGAGTTGATCCACATATTATTTTGGGATTTCATTTTGATATGAAAGCATACAAAGTTATGCATCTTGAAAACAAGAAAATCTCATATTCACGAAATGTTGAATTTTGTCAAACTGAATTTCCGTTTACCAAACCTATTTCTTCACCAAATACACATGATTTACCCTTGCATATTCCAACTATTAATCATGTTTCTTCTGATCATGTTGAACCCAGAAACTTCGATTCAACCCATTCTCCTTCAATATCATCTGCTATACTTGTACAATGAGCATCTAAGTCACCAATTCATCCAATCACAGAATCTTAGTTTGTGCATACTGAACAAGAGTCTCAAAATCTTGATCATGTTGAATCGGTTACTACTCCTACATTATGCAGATCTTCTAGAGTTCCTAAACAACCTTCTTATTTTGATGATTTTGTTTGCAATCATGTTTCTTCAGATTTTTCAATGCCTTATCTTGAAATATGTCCTCATACTATGACTAATCTATGTGTTTCATCTCAGAATCAATTACTTTAAATAGTTTTATTCAATCTTTTGTTGCAAATATAATTTATGTTGTGGATCCTAAGTCATATGACGAAGCTGTTTCTAATCCTTTTTGGCAAGAAGCCACAGCAAAAGAATTTACAGCCTTAGAAGCAAATGGAACTTGGAAACTTGTTCCTTACCTACAGAAAAGCGTGCTATAGAATGTAAATGGGTTTATAAAACCAAGTTCAATCAAGATGGGACAATTGAAAGATATAAAGCACGATTGGTGGCACAAGGCTTCACTCAAAAATAGAATGAAGATTATTATGAAACATTCTCTCCGGTTGTCAAATTTACTACTATCAGATGCATTGTAGCACTTGCTGTCAAACAACATTGGCCCATTCATCAGTTGAACATTAGCAATGATTTCTTATATGGAGATTTGCATGAAGAAGTTTATATGAGAAGGCCCAAAGGTATGGTTTGCACAAATGATAACTATGTTTGCAAACTTATGAAGTCTTTATATGGTTTGAAGTAGGCTTCACGACAGTGGTACTCAAAGTCATCTGAAGCATTAAAAGCAAAAGGATTTCATCATTCTCAAAATTATTACTCTTTGTTTCTCAAAAAGACAAAAGAGTCGTTCACCATAATGGCCGTATATGTTGATGATGTCATAGTGACCGGAGACGGTACTTCTGAAATAGAAGAGTTGAAGAAGTTTTTGCATGAAACTTTTCAAATCAAAGACTTGGGTCATCTTAATTACTTTTTAGGTTTGGAGTTCCTACGAAGTGACCAAGGATGTCAAAGAAACAAGTAACAGTTTCGTTATCTTCAACTGAGGCTGAATTTAGATCTATGAGAAGGATTACAACTAAGTTTACATGGCTGAGCAGACTTTTGGCAGATTTAAAAGTTGAGAACATTACCCCAATTGCTCTGAAGTGTAATAATCTAGCAAGCATACATATAGAAAACAATTCAGTTTTTTACAAAAGGACAAAACACATTGAACTAGATTGCTATTATGTAAGAAAACAACTACAAGCAGGAGTTATTGTTGTGGAGTTTACGCCAACAAAGTTACAACTTGCTAATGTGTTTAGTAAATCATTGCATGGACCTAAACATTCTGATGTCATTTACAAGATGGGATTAGTTAGTCAACTACCAACTTGAAGGGGGGGGGGGGAGGGGTGTTAGAGTTTGTTATTATTTTATGTTTGATAGTTATCATAGTTAGCTTACTTAGGCTATTTTGTCTTAGCTGTGTATATATAGCCCTTTCTCTATTCAATACAATATACAGAAAATTCCCCTATCCTTCTTCTATCTCTCTCTATTTCTTTTACTCTCATTATATCAATTTTTGTTATCTCTACCATGGGTGTTCTTCATTTTGATTAATTTCGATTTGAAGACAAAGATTCGGGAGCAATCATCTAATGTGCTTATAAACATTATTTAACATCTAACAGGAATGAAATAAATCAAAATTATAAATTGGAAGGCCTGTTTCTATGGTGCCCTAAAGCGGAGCAAAACACAAAAGAATCTTAGGTTGTTTCATGCCATAAATAAACTCGAACACTCAAGAAATCCGAAGCACCAAACTCATAATTGGCGAGTTCGTAGGTTCAATTCCTAATTTCTTACAAATTATGCGGTAAAATATGAAAGAAATCGAGGATTCATAATTTGAAGTCTCAAAGACTGATAAAATTACGTGATTGATATGGCTAAAACACGATATTGTTCCTAATTTAAACATTAACAGTTTTTATCTTATCGTTACTGAAAAAAATCATCGTATGTTTGTAATGGAATGTAGATGTTGAGACATTGGAGAAAATATGAATATGAAGTCCTTGATGATTCAAAGCTACACCATGAAGCTAGCTTGGATGATGAAGGTGATCTTGCTTTACCTAGACGCAGCAGTGAGTTGTGCTTACTTTAATGTGTATTATAGTTATTGTTGGTTAATTTTACTATTAAATCAAATAAATTGATACTAGGAAAAAAAAATTGGATGGGGCAAAGATAGGGAGAGTCTACACATATCTTGCCACCACCTCCAAAACATAGAGAGGATGAATGTGAAGATCCCCTTACTTGAAAAAAAAATAATATTAGGAAACAATTGAGAAAAGTAACACAAGAGTGTGTGCAAACATGTAACAAGTATAGTGATCCAGAAAGGAAACAGAAGTACACGAGGGATATAAGATGAAGCAAATAGGGAATCACAAAGTTGAGTGTAACTAACAACAATATCTGATCATACATTCATGAAAAGAATACCTTTTATGCCATTATGTATTTTTCTCACCCAGAATAATTTATAAAGTGATTATCTTATAAGCATAGGGACATCGAATTCCCAAAAAACCATTGATCGGGATGCTAGGATAAAGTGTCCTCGATAGTCATCACTATTATGTACCTTTCTTTATTAGGATTAAAGGCTTAGCCGCTTGACTCACTCTGGATACAAAGCATAAGAGGGTAAGACATGTAAGAGATTTTCCACCTATGGATGATAATTTGGAATTGGGAACAGTACTAGGAGTAGTTATCCTGCTTATCCATTAGAGCGAGGATAGGGTGTTTAGTAAGCCTAGCCTCTCCGGTAACCCTAATGATAACTTGAGGTCCTCAAGATGAATGCAAATAGAAAGGAAATATGTGGTGTAAAGTGAGACTGGTTGCACTGTAACCCCGTCTTATGTCATCGAGAGAAAGTAGGGAATAAAGTGGATGGTTCATCAAGACTACCTCCTTAGCTGCCAAAAATGGGGGTGGGCAACCCAGTCAAACTAAGAGACTGAGTGAAGGAAGAGAATTGGTCCTTTAAGTTCCTTAATTTTTAGGCAAAGGTTGAGAAGTTTTCCAGGTATACCCACATGAAGATGTTCCTGAACATGGAAGAGTGACTATATTCACAGACAAGGTCCACGAATGAAGAAGTTATCTTCAATCATGCTAACAAAATCTGTTCATAGGGCCAATGACCGAATAATGTTCTAGATTCCGATTTCACTCTAAGGTGGCGTTTGTTTTTTAAGAGGTGTTGAAGTCTGAAGTCTGAATTCACTTCTGAATTTTAAGAGGTGGTGCTGAAGTCTGAAATCTGAATCAGTCAGACTGTTTGTTTTTACGTCTGAAATCTGAAATCTGAATCAGTCAGACTGTTTGTTTTTACGTCTGAAATCTGAAATCTGAATCAGTCAGACTGTTTGTTTTTACGTCTGAAATCTGAAATCTGAATCAGTCAGACTGTTTGTTTTTACGTCTGAAATCTGAAATCTGAATCAGTCAGACTGTTTGTTTTTACGTCTGAAATCTGAAATCTGAAATCTGAATCAATAAGACCTAAATCAACATTGTAGTGTATATATATATATATGTCCAAAAAACATATTTAAATGCCAATGAATTTGTATTGCTAAGGATAACTAGTCAAATGTGAATGGGAAAATATGTACAAAACAGCCATCATTCCAAGATCACAAGAAAGGAAYTTCTTCCACTGTTTMCCTTCGTATAAGAAAAGAACACTCTCGTTGCTCACCCATTTATGTATAAGAAAAGGAAACACAGCAGATTATTATAGCACATAACATAGATTACTATAGTTCCTCTCATGAAACAGAATCAACCAYTTATGCTCAACTTATTCGAGGCTGTTGGGAGCTTGATCTTGCAGCACTTACAGGTAAAATTTTGTTGTTTATGCTCAACTTATTCGACCATTTATAGTGATTACTGAAGCTACTCAAGCAGATAACATAGATTACTATAGTTCCTCTCATGAAACAGAATCAACCATGATTTGTA